GGGCCACATAAAATGACATGGCGGGCCACATGTGGCCCGCGGGCCTTGAGTTTGACACATGTGCTATAGAGAATCACAATTTATAGTCCTGGCAGTTCTGGCTCTAAAGCTCAAAAATCAATTTTAGTCTTCTTAATGTTTATGCAAAGTAACAATATGGAGATAAATTGGGGCCATAAAGTCTGGTCAAAAGAAAAAAATGAAACTGAAAAACGATGTAAAACTGAAAAATTATTTTGAAACTGAAAAAAAGTTTGAAAATTAAAATTTGAAACTCAAAAGTAGTTTTAAACTTTTTCTTGTTTTTGTTTTTCAGTTTCAATATATTTTTTTTAACATTTCAAATCTTTATTTTCAGTTTAATTTTTTTCATTTCAACCAACTTTATGACCCCAATTTAGCTCCATAGAAAAATCCTTTCACATTTTTGTATTTAAGAGAAGTCAGGTAGCTGAGCTAGCCTAATACTGGTAATTTAATTTACATAATTTCATGCATAATCCTATTTTTGTTTAAATATAAGCTGGTGGAAATTGATACAGTTTGGACCTTATAAAATTATTTAAAATACATTTTTTTATTTGTTTATACTTACTTTTCCTCTTGTCAGTTATAATTTAAACAGAATCTCTGGGCCATTTGAATAGAAATCAGAAAATTTCTTTTCTTTTTTTCCATTTTTAAGTCAGTAATAGGTGCAGCTGTTTGAGGATGGTTCTTTTGTAGTCCAAAAGAATCGGTGCCAAGTATGATATTGGGTCAAAACCAGCCTTCAAAGTACTTTTATCCCCATAAACTTTTTTTGCAGCTCATTGTTTTATGAACTTTTACATTAAAGCAGAAAAGCTGATAATGCAAAAACAGCCAAAACTCTCAGTTAAGCTGCTAAAAAATAATGAGCTTATCCCGCCATTTTGCGGGGATCTGACTTGCTTTAAGAATAAATTAATATATTATAGAAATGTCAATTATTTAAAGAAAAAAAAAAGAAACTCCCAACTGCCAGAAAGTTTCCTTAAACTTCGGTCTCATCAGGAAATCCCTCTAACGAGCTAATTAACAGTGAAGGATACGAAGTAAGCAAACAGAAGCCATTCATTCTGCCATCCCAGAACCGAACATAATCACAGAACATTCTTCTTAACTGCCTCCATCTTTCCTCATTTGCACTTTTCAATTACTAACGCCAGGGCTGGCCTAAAAAGCATTAAGAGAAATGTTACTCTGTGGCAGAAAAGAAGCTAAATTCATCGTTTTCTAAAAGGACCGGCTGCTTAATGTGCGACGGGGAAGGAGGGGGGTCACACCGCTGCAAATGAGGTCAGAGTCGGTAGAGCAGGCTGAGGTAATGGACGACAGATTAGAGCAAATGGATTTTCATTAAGGAGGTGGACAAACACAATGAAGAAAAGCTGCTGAGCGCTCTCCAGTTGTTAACATGCTATTGTCCTAATCCAAGCCTAATGTCGCTAAATGGGGTTTCTGATGCCCAACAGGAGGCAGTGGGAAAACGAGACGGCGGGGTTGAGTATAGATCGTCGTTAACGCATCCGATTAATCTTTAACGCATAGAGAACGGTGTGCTGAGCGGCAAATTTTACTTTAAAAAACACGGTGATTGACGTTTGGATATAAAATTACATTTAAAACAAAATGATTTATTTTAAACCTTCCTGCAATGCAAAAACACAAAATCTTACCAAGTATTTTTCTCTAGTTTATCATGCAAATAGATTAAAAATGTGCAAGTGGAACATTTTCTGTCAAAATTAAAGAATTATTGACTTAAACAAGCTCCCATATGTTGCTGAAAAGTTATTTGTAAGTTAGTTTGGCTTATTTCAAGATACTGTGCTGTTTTACGACAACTATTTAATAGTATTGATAGACTTTTTCACTCAACTTTTGTCCATTGTCATAAGTGTTGCAAGTTATTTAATTTGCATATGTAAATATTTCCTTAATCAGCATCAAAGTCATCAAAGACTTTCAACTTGATGACTTTGGCCCATATTGCCAAATGCTTGACATCAATAAGTCGTCAATCAATCAGCGTCTGGTGAAAAAAATTATCTCCACCAGGTCAGAGATGAAAAATCAACATTGGAAATACTAATTATTCATCTAAATTGGATGTTTTTAATGATAAAACTGCTTCCAACAGGGTTTTTATTTTAGTAAAGTATAAAAATACAATACTGGACTCTAAAAATGTTGGAGAAACAATTTGAAGGGTTGCTGGAAACTTTCAACATGACAAATAAACAAAAAACTTGCCTTATAACATAAAATAAACTATTTTTACTCGGATTTTTCACTCAAACTGTTTTTATAACTCTGAGTAAAGAAAAAACAAGTTTCAAAGTAAACTTGTTTCCATTTCGCTGAGAAGCTTCTAACCTTGGCGATTTGAGGTCATCTGTGGAAAAAGTGGACAATCTGTCGAGTTCTCTGCTCTTCAAAATGCCCAGTTAGAGCTCAGAGTTTACAGCTGAGGCTTTAATTAAAGCCTTGGGAAGGCAATGCCACAGTCAGCGTGGCGCACCGAGGCTGAATTACGTGTTTCTCACCTTGGCATTGGCCGTCCCGGGCGAAGAAGCCCTGTGGGCATGTCTGAACGCAGCGACCCTCAAACAGGCTGGATGGCGACGAACAGGAGGAGCAGTCTGCGTCCGACGGGCCGCCGCAGCGCAAACAGGACGGATGGCAATCTGGAAAAGGATGGGAGGTTTTATATCTGCAACAAAAACTATAAAAACAGAGGAGCCAAGTGCAGAACTACAGCAGGGAACAAACAGAACATGATAAATTAATGTTTTATTTAACAAAAAACAATAATCTGCCATTTTTAAGAAAAGATCTAAATCAGTTCTGCTTTGGCTAGCATTAAATCATCAGGATCAAAATTAAATCAGGAAGCTACTCCAAGACAAAACATCAAATCCATCCCAACAGAAAACTATACGAGTTATTCTGCTGTAGAGAAGATTTAAGCATTTAGATCCTCAGGAACAAGAGTAAAAATAAGCTCAACACAGAGATGTTTGGGAAACAGACACAAAAATAAACTGCAAGTTATTCAGTGCAGGAAAACAGATTCTGTTTGACAAGTAAAAAATAAAATATGAAATCACTGGTGTAATATTTTTAATCCACTTGGGAGACATGGAAAATAATTGGAAGTGGTATGAAAAAAGGGAAAAAAGAAAAAGAAAATAAACAAAACAAACAAAAAAGGAAAAAAAAAGAAAAGAAAATAAACGAAACAAAAAAGGAAAAAAAAAGAAAAGAAAATAAATGAAACAAACAAAAAAGGAAAAAAAGAAAAAAGACTGAAAAAAAGAGGAAGACAAAAAAGAAACAAGTAATGAAAACCACCAGCACCTCCCGACCCCACTGAGGGACAAGGGTGTCAGAAAATGAATGAATGAATGAATGAATGGATGGATGGATGGATGGATGGATGGATGGATGGATGGATGGATGGATGGATGGATGGATGGATGGATGGGATGAAAACAAGAAAAAATGGAAAAGGGAACAAAGAAAAAGAAAAAAATGGAACAAAAAAGGAAGATAAAGGAAATAACGTATAAGAGGACAAAAAGAAAGAAAAAGACAAAAACATAAATAAAATGGAAAAAGGGGAGTAAGGAAAAAGACTGAAAAAGAGGGAAGAACAACAAGAAAGAAAAAAGGAAGGGGAACAAGAAAAAAGGACAAAAAGACGAGAGAAAAAGAATCAGAAGTCAAAGAGTTTTTTCTGTTAAAGACAGAAAAATAATGACAGAAATCCTGTCAGGTTTTGTCTGAACCTGCAGGTTCACCAGCATTTGTTCTTCCTTTGTCAACCAGAACGTCCTCAGAGAAACACAACCTCTTCCTGAACCTGGTCCAGTTTACCCGAGTTCACCTTCCAAACAGCAACATGGAGACAAATTTGCTTTGAAGAAATTTCTAAAAACAGCTGGCAGAGAAGAAAGACACAACTGCTTCAAGGCTGCCGGTTTTCTGAAGCAAATTCAAAGCAAGGGGCGTATCCAAGGACGAAACTGCTCCGAGTGCATCCTTGAAGTTTATTGACCAGAGAAAAGAAAAGAAAGAAAAATTAATTAGCGTTAAGATAGAAGGCTGTGCAAATACGAGGCTTTTGTCCAGTCATCTTTATGGGTTTATTTTAACTTCTCCATTTTACAGGGTAGGTTTGATTATGGAAAAGAAACAAAGAAAATAAAAAACAAAAAACAGTCAGCACACTGCAAAAACACAAAATCAAATCAAGTATTTTTGGTAGTTTCTACTGTAAATATCTCAGCACACTTGAAATAACACAAAACTAACTTATAAGTAACTTTTCCAGTCAGAAATAGGAGCTTGTTTTAAATCAATAATTATTTAATATTAATGAAAAAGTCCTAGTTCCATTGGCAGATTATTTGACTCATAACAAAACATTTTCCTTTAAGTGAAATAAACTTTTTCATCAACATTAAAGAATAATTTAATTAAAACAAACTCCCATCTCTTGATGAAAAGTTACTTGTAAGTTGGTTCTGTCTTATCTGAAGTGAACTAACTGGACAGAAATTACTTAGAAAGGTTTTGTGTTTTTATAGTGTACGACTCTTCGGCCCTGGTACTTGGTGGAAATTATTCAAATATTACCTCTAAAATCTGGAGTAACTTTGGTTCTGGTTCTGCACTGTCGTGATTCTCACCGTGGTTCTCTTGGGTTCCCAAGTTTTAGAAATGGTTTAGCGAACAGAACTTTCTTTCTCATCTGTTATTTCATCTGGGTCTGAAGTCATCAGTTTGTTTTTAAGTAATTTGGCTCCACCAGTCAGTAGCTGCATTTCCACTTACCTTAAAAAAGTGCAACTTGGAAAAACAAAAATAAATCTGCTTAATGGAAACATGCAAATTTTGAAAAAATATGTTTTTCAGTAAAAGTTTTGTGCTGAGATGACGTGTTTTCACACCAGTTTGCGTACTACGAACGTCTCCCCTCAGCTTATCAAAAGTTGAGTTTCTGTCATTTGAAAGTTTTATCTTTCATCTCTGATGATGATCGCTAGCGCCACGGATTTATTATTAATACGTCTCTTACATCTGTCACTGCCATGATTTTTAATCATTTATCACATGAACAAGATTATTCACATGTGATTTTAATTGCATTTCATATTTAATGGAAACGCCGCTTGTGAGTGATCAGGCCTGAAATGTAACCAACAAACGAGTTAGTCACAGTTTATTTATGATTTTTAAAACGGTAGAATCAGGTTTGTTTTGGTGAGAGTTTTAGCCTTAATTAATAAAATAATCATTTTCAAACATATTTTTGAACATTTAAGGGTAACAAAAGAGCAAAACTTCAGCTTTTCACAGCTCTATACGGGTTTGCTATGCAGACAGTTGAAGATGAGAATATTTATAAACTGCAGCAGTCACAGCATTGACCTGTAAAAAATAAAATAAAATAAAAAGATTAGATCCCCTCGGCCAGAGATGACCTTCTGCCATCCCGCCGTACCCTGGAGATTCACCTAAAGATAATAATTAGAGCTGCTTAGTCCAAGCTGGGGCTGGTAACCAAAACCTCTGACCGGATATTTCAACTCCAAAACGTCGTTAGATTTCTGAAATCTGCTATACATTTTGAATAGTTCAATAAAACATAAATAGATATTTCCTGGAAGCTGTAAGTAAGAATTATGTGAGAACAGAATCAGCAAAAAATAAAATACTGATTATCTTCCTTTTCTGTTTTAAGCCCAATAAAAATTCAAATATAAAGAATTTCAGATTCGCTTTGTGTCAAAATAATTTTCATACCAGATGCTTAAGATGAGCCGTTATAAAAACAGTCAAAAAATGTTCTGGTAAAACAAATGTAACTTCCTCTGTTTATCTCCAACAAGGACATCTCCTACATCTCTGAGACAAAGTTTTTCAGAAAACTTTGTTCAAGTTCACCTGAGCTCTCTAAAAGACGGCGCACTCCTGCAACAGAATAGACATTCAGGCTGAAGAAGTGCTCTGATGTGGAGCAGAAAAACAGCATTTAGCTCCAACAGGGCCGTAAAAACTCGTCGTACCGAAGGACAAGACACTCACTGAGAAAACAGATGATTTAGAGTAGATATGTTCTTTAAAACAACCTTCCAGCTTTACTCTCTATGCCAGGGGTCCCCAAACTTTTTCCTGCGAGGGCCACATAGCTGTTCCTTTCTCTGGTCAGGGGCCGGTCTTAGTTTTTGGAGAAAGAAACCTTAGAAAATTCGTAGTCGACAGGGGGGGGGGTGGCTGTTCTGTCTTTGAAACTGTCGAGCGGGGGCGGGGGGCGGCGGTGGCGACGAC